ACATTTTACCAAAATGTGCAATATGAAATTTTCGACGTGTTTGTGATAGTTTACATGATCAATTATTATGAAAGTCTATAGAATGCTTCAACCCTTTTTCGAAAGCATAACCATTATTCCGAAAACGGAAATATTTATCTACTTTTTTATAGCGTGTTGCTTTACAATATCCTTCGAAGTACTGATGCGATTTCCTAACATGATAAAATACTGATCACATAGATGAGAGAGGCAAATAAGATTCCTAAAGTTGTGTAGGTTCGACTATTTTCATGCGATGACCATTATGGACATTCACTGCAACTTAACCATTAAAGTTCACCATTAACTTTCTTCGTTCAGTATAAAGAGTATTGCATTCAAGACTCTAATTTAAGGACGATCGTTGAACGAATCTTAAATAACCATGACAATTATTAACCAATCAGAAGACAGTTAGTATAAAGTGAAAATATATTATAAGAAAGTAATGAATTACAGTGGATATTCTTCTCTTACATGATTTAAAAACTTTATAAGGTTCGATAAAGGTTCAGAGGTTCTGAATTCATAATGTATATGGTATAGAAATTCGTCCATAGGTTTAGGGTTTAGGGTGCCTCAATAAACACCTCTTCTCTAAAATCCGTTGAAAACCGATCGTATGTTAGCACCCTAACCTAACCTTAACCCTAAACCCTAACGCTAACCCTAACCCCTAACCCTAGCCCTAACCTTAACCCTAAACGCTAACCCTAACTTTAACTCTAACCCTATTGACGATTTTCTACACCTTATGCATTATTAATTCAGAACCTCTGAACCTTTATCAAATCATAACAAGTTTTTAAATCATGTAAAAGAAGAATATCCACTGCATTTCATTACTTTCTTATAATGTATTTTTACTTTATACTGTCTTCTGATTGGCTAATAACTGAAATTGCTCAAACGCTTTTGATTGGCTCGTCCCTAAATTAGAGTCTCGCTGTATTGCATTTTATGGTCAGTGTGAATCTTCTTTCACCGTACTACCCATATTGCCATATGATCATCACGAACAGAAGCCTTATACATTTAGGATTTATCAGAAAGTGTAATTTTTATAGCTTATTATATTTAATTGTTTAAAAGATTAGTAGCGAAATGCAATGAATTTGGAGGAAATGTGAGTTAAACTAGAACATATTCGAAATAAGAACATAAAATGAACAGAAAATAATTGTTTGGAGCTTTCCAAATAGTTTTAATGTAGAAAAGCTGACACTCTAAAAAACAGATGAACCGGACAAGAATTTGGTTCGAGAATCGATAATATCCTACTTGTATATGATGTTTTTAAAATAATTATGCAATCTTCACGACAGTATTTTTTCACGCTTTCAGATAAAAATGTCTGAATTATCAGATCAATACATACTGGAAACAATAATGTCAAAATCAGAACTATACAAGACCGAGTTCGAACCTTGAGTAAAATAAATATATAACAAAACCGGCGAAAATAATGAAATTCATAATTATTGTTTATAGCCAGTTGCGTACTCCGTGGTCTTCCAATATAAATCTGAACTACCTTTATCCAAGGCATAAACAAATCTACTATATTTAAGAAGAGTATTAAGAAGTGGAAGAGTTTTGACCACCGTAGATGTACATATCGCTTCACGATGAAAATGTTTTACAAACCCCATAGGCTTGCTTTTGATCAATACGTCAACTAGCTCAAACAAGCTGTGAAAAAGCAATGTATGATATAATATTAGGATTTTGTATAAAAAGACCAGATATTATTTCACGAATGATTCATTTGATACTAAAATTGTCAGTTTTTGAAAATTAGGTGACAGTGATAATTATTTTAACACGTTTAATCTTTCTATTGGACATTCTTGTTTCGTATCATCTGCTTTCCTGAAATCTGACCTGACCCCTTCAATATTCGGAAACATCCAGTTTTCAATTAAAGATGAGAATGGATTTTTCAGTCAATTTATCTCTTTCTAGTTGTTTCAGCTACAAAATACAAGTACTATTTCACTTGCAAACACAAGATCTGTGTAAAAGCCAGTGAAAGCACGTAAAGTTACTTGGTAAGACTGTTGGAGGTGACGTAAGCACTTCAAGTTTCTCTTAGGGTTCATTCTTGTGTGCCTGAAGTACAAAGGAGATACACCGATAGGACCAACAAAAATGGAAACACAAGACACTTTTAAATATGATCGTAGTAACCCTCTCCTGTACATCAACCTATCCAAGCACAAACGAGTTCATGAGAACCAAAACCCGAGTCCATAAACCAATAAAACTACCGACTGTTGTATACATATCAGTCGATTGTGACATTAAAGATCGATGGGTTGGCGTTAGGAACAGAAGCACGAGTAGCGCAGTCTTAAAAACGCTAAAAACTGAAAACATCAGATCAAGGTTTTTTATTAAATGTCCTGGTAGCCAGCAGCTCAAATATGAGCCAACCCAGAAAATCTCCATGAGTTCATGAACAAACCTGAGCCTGCAATTCAGGCAATCTGTGCTCTCAAAGCTCTCAGTAGTAAATATCTCACTAACCCCAACAGAAACGTTTTAAGGAAACTTGGTTGGCAGATTAAACCAGGTGTCCACAAGTGCAAAACGTTCTTCAACTTTAGTGTCGGAGATGGGTTTCAGTAATTCATTTATATCCTGGCTTTGAAACTACCTAGATAACAGGTTGTAAATAGAGTGCAAATGAGATAGACAATCTTGACGTTAAGAGTTTGACAGGAGACCGTCTTACGTACACTCCTCTTCCTGATCTATGTTAATGATCTTCTTGATTAAATCGGCTCAACCACATTAGTCTACTAGGATGACACAAAAATATAGCCTCGCTAAAAAGAAGAAAGGTTTTCTCCTCAGTATTTCACATCCACGATCCCACACGCAGAACCCAAACCCAGGTTTTGGTCGCGCGCGAACGCCTAACATCTAGACCGTTGAGTCAGGATCATAAAGTGGTAATATTTAACTTTAACAAATCCATGATACTGCCCGATATTCTTTCATTTTCTTTGATGGAGAACCGCCTGTAACCCGAATCGACTAAACTCCACTAGTTGTAGCTTCCTACTTCAACTCCGAGAATCGACTCTCGGAGCTAGTCATCAGTGAGGGGATGATAATTTTTAGCATGTAGTTATGGAGATTGTTGAGTCTCACTGACATCTCATTATCTTTACATTGCAGTGAACCAATCTCCTTTCTAATAGTGGAATAGCTTTCAGTATCCAGAGACCTAAAATACAACCAGCTGGACATTACCAAAGACTTGAAAACCTATCATAACAACAAAATGTTAGTGCAAACATTAGAATAAGTGTTTTAAAGGTCAACAAAAGCTAAAGCAGCTAGTGACCACACGCTGTCTGATCCAAATGTCGGTGTATTACTAGTTCGATATTTGATGGCCATTATGTTATCCTAGTGAGTAAATATACCTATGAATTGTACTTAAATAAATCCTACTGTATATTCCTTAACTTCGTAGATGGTATTCAGTGTGACATTTGGACGTACAAAAACTGAAACTCTGTTTTACCACACCAGTTTTTAGAAATATACATTAGAAAGCACATTAATTACCTGTAATTGGCTTTCAGTAGTGTGGTAGCAGTAATTCTCAAATTCCTGAGTTCAATACAGTGGTATGTCGACCTTATTAATTTATATGCGATAAGTCAACAAGTCATTTGTCCATAGTGACTAGTTTTACTAAGTAGGACCGCATCAAATATTTCGCCAAAATCTGCTTAAACACAACCTGATTGTGTGTAAGAAATCAATTTCCTAAATGAGTTCAGCGCAAATTTTTACGAAATATTTTCACAGTCGGACTTGTTCGTTGTAAATAAGCTACTCTCAAGTTTTCTATTTAATCTCAGAAGAATTCAAATTTATTTTTATTATCTCTGAAGTCTTTGTATAAAGCCCATATCATGTATTTAAAGTACAAGTACGAACCAGGAGTATAAATACTTCATTCCGTCTTAAGAAATACTTATCCATGCATGATGAATAAAATCTTTTACTTTAGTACAGGTTTAATTAAGTTTCAGATATTCTCATGATTATCATGCAGACATTTATTGTTAAATGTTTAATGATACAGAATAAATTGCGACGAGTTGTTCAAAAACAGATGACTAAAATAATGAATACTAGAGATTACGGTAACTTAGTAACTAGATAACGAATTAATTCACTTACTTGTGACCGAGTCATTTGAGCAGATTCGAACAGTGTGTCTCATGTTTACTAAATAGTCTCCTTTAGAAACAGTGCAATATTCAATCATAAAATCACATGCTAGTGGGCTGAACAAAGTTATTTATTTAAAGCATTCTTTTTACTTATGATATATATCTATTTGTTTTTTTATTACACTAAACTTGAAGGGTCTTCTGTAATTTGATTTTAAGGACGTTTGGTAACCTAATCGTTCAGAAATTTGCACTGATCTTAAGTATAAAGTTAAAATTGTCACTGGTTATCTTTAACGAACACAATCCTTTCACTTGATAACATTTTGTTTTTCTCAGATTTATTTACAATGCAGTAACAATACTATTTATCAACCAATAACTGTTTCATTCATAAATACTCGAAAAAAGTAGACCGAATAGCACTGACCTCTAAACAATTATTTCGGCTGTTGTATTAGTCATTCTACCATAAATTAAATTATGCCTGTTCACTGTCTTGCTCGCAGACAGACAAAAGGTTTTTCAAAATAGGTTGATCAAGTTTCAAAACTAATCTTTTACAAAACGTTCAACTCATAGGAAATGTTTTAATTCATGTGAATATTTACCTCATTTTCCATTTTACCAAGCTGTGATAAACGGTTCTTTTACTTTAAAGATTCGAGCGTGAAAGTAAATAAACTGATGTTCATGTTTACATTCATTGTTATCCACTAGCAATGTTTCGTACATTGAGAACCCACATGAATCAGTGAGTCATTAAAAAAAGACAGAATATAAAAATAGTAAATGTATTTCACAATATTAGAGAAAAACAAAAATGATCAACTGACACGTTAGTAAATATCAAATAAGCACACTCTAATTGTACTTCATTCATTTTATAGCTTTCTTTGAATGAAAAGTAATATCAAAAATCTGAAAATCATAAAAAAGTGTTTAATTTAATTTGTGAAGTTTCGAAATAATGTAAATATATCATAGGATTATTACTGTTTGTCGAAAATTGATATTATGATGAGCTTGCAGAATCAACAGATATTGTTCTGCTAATCTCATCATACCGTCAGCTAACACAGTGATAATGAATAACTTCCAACCACTGATTATTCTATTTTTAATGATTAATAAGCTTTGATGAAACTGCCTTCTATGAGCTTTGTGGTGCAGTCGTGAAGCTTTCATTATCTATCTGGACAAGGTGAATAGCACAAAATTTAGATAGAAGTAAGGTAATAGGCCTTCTCTATTTTCGAGTTGTCAACATTAAGTTTGATTAGTTTTTGTTAACAATGGTCCTGTGATTATCTGCACATTTATACTGATTTTCATCCCTTTTGACCCTCTCCTCTCTTATTCTCAATATAACTGCTTATGATGTTTCTAACTAATTGATAATTTAACTCTATCTTAATATGTTTACTGACCGGCCAGAATATAAAGCTTTCAAAAACGTTTTCAACATTTTATATGTTGCCTCAAACTAGGATTTCAACGTTTTCCCAGTCAAGCATGTGTTCACACTTGTCTGCATCTGACGATGTAAGCAAAGAAAAGGTTTTAAGTGGATTAAAATTAATAAACAAGTAAGTGGAGTTCATAGAAATGTCAATATGAATGACAATTTTTCAAATAGATATAGAATAAACATAACGGTTATTTATTTCGTGGAGACAGTGGATGTAGTCGTTTGTTTTCGATGACAGTCAACTCAATCAATATGCACTGTTATTCGTGTATTTTCAGATCAGAGCTACAATTCAGTACAACATACTTTTATGTAAAAAAATACATAAATCACTTACCGTTAGTGACGAATGTTCAGAAGAATACGGACCAGATGAACATCGACAAAAATTTTCTAGCGCCAGTGTCTGTTACGCCTTCCTTCACTGATAAAAGGAAGTACATCAAATTTAATTTATTGGAAAACGTAAATGTAGATCACATGTTAAAAAATTACCCCGTTATTACTTGTCTGTTTGATCACTGAGTATAATTATTCTTCTAATTCAGGATCGTTTACAGAATTGTACAGTCGATCCTCGATAAATTGATAACCTATCAAATATATCTTCGAACCTCCTTCCTTCTGTCTTTTGATTTCACTTGGTGTGTACGATTTATAGTACAAGGTGTTATTGGTTTAAGCGTTTTCAAATGCCAAATATCATAAACTCTTCAACAGAAACGTTTATGAACTTAGAATATAAGTAGAGACAACGAGTGAACCTACGTATGTCATTATAAACAATTTTGAACTAAGTAATTCAAAGTCTCCAACTATATTTTACGACGATCGCCTGAACCCCAGTCAGCTAATTTGCATCTACTAAAATGGGTCAGTTCAGTCATTATTGACTTCACTGAATGAAGTCTTTGTTTGGCTACCACTGGCTTTCTTTCTAACTGCTTTCATATCAGACAACGTTGCCCATCGACATAAGCGGTGGTTGAGCATACGTAACACACATCTTACCCACCCCGGTTTATGAAGATTTACTACCTTACTAATCAATTTGTCGACTTTACCACACACCCTGTCCCTCCCAACTTATTGTTGACTCCAGGATCCTAAAATAAACGACAATTACATGGAAGGCACCTATGGTCGAATACTAACAGGTTGTAAATATCCTCTATTTTTAATAATCATGTTTCGCAGCCTTAAAGCATGACGACGTGAACTGCTATTCTGTAGACTTGTTCTTTGGTTATCAGACAGATTTCTCATATATGTGATAAATGGCACATTTTCCTAACCATATTAATAGCATGACACAAGTTTATGTTTTTAAAATACTTCCACAATGTTACCAAACCCATATCTAACTTGATGTAAGCTTAATCTACTGAATTTCAACATATTGAGAAACTTCGCTTCCATTGTGAACATAACCAAACAGTGACAATTGCTGAATCGTAGCATTGTGATTTGACAAGTTTACCTGCTCTTGTGGAGCAATTTATTTTGGCCGTACAGATAACACACTTGGTAAACCAATATCCGAGCACAACCATGTGTATTTATCCAAACGGATATGTAAAAACCAATCAATATCTCAGTTACTGAGCATATGCTCGATTCGAATAATACCCCACTACATGAAGCTACGTTCGAAATCGTCGACAAAGTAAGAAGAACTGGATCAAAAAAGGCTTGGATGAGCAGTTTAGGGACAATCAAGCCAATAACAATTTGCCATTTCAAATCCAAATTTTGTGTCTATAAGAAGCCCATTCAATTCCTTATTCTTCTATGATCTTAGCATCTCTTTAAGTTTTAGTAAGTATTGAAACAGAAAACCTGAGAAATATAAACTCTCCTTGTACTCTGTCAGAAATTTCTGGTGATTTATACCATCATAAGATTGTTGTAAAGCACAGAGAATGTAAACATGTTGAGATGGTGAAGATTTGTAGCTCAGGTGGATGATTTTGATGGGGTTTTGTTCTCCAGCTCAGAGAACAAAACTCCATCATAAACGTGTTAATCCCCTAGATAGCTGCCCTTGTACTCTAACCTTTACGGAAGTAATTTCTGGTTCTATACTTTCTAGAGCTAACTGGTAGTGTTTGACATTTCTATAAACCTATCATTACTCAAAATTTTCATCCCAACAAAACTGAATTTTATATAACTCCTATAAGCGTAACGATTTTACAAAATCAGTCAAATGATATATAAAATGACGTGATTGTGATCGATCTGTTTATACTAAACAACTGCCTACTCAAAGATTGACATAAATAAGCGTTTATTTAACTGCTGAGAGGTTACTTAAAGCTTTATAAAATCCCGTAATATTAGAAGTGTATGTACCTAAACATGTATGATAAAATATATTTTGCGAAACCTCTACAACAATAGGCAAACTAAACCCCACCAGATTCCTTTATTTATAATAAAAATGCCTCACTTACTCTGAACTTGAACCATGATCACTTGAATGACCACGCCGATTTGAGTGTGAACCATGTCGTCCCCGACTGTTTGGTAAAACAATGAAAAATATCATATACGTTATTGACTGTCAAAAGGCTATAAAAGTGAATTTGGTGTAGTTTACTCCAAACCATGAGCCAAATTTATTTCAGTAAAGCAATGGTTACTAATGACACGGGTTCTGTCATGCTTAGGCACACGATTTTGCTATGGTAACTTCATCACTCACAAAAGGCCTATATAACGAAATGACTGTTTTTACCTTTTTTAATGTGTGTATCCGTGCTACTTGAGTAATGAATTGAATGATACTATTTCTCTATTTTCCTGTTACTGAAAACAAATTAGTCACTCACAAAAACACTAGACATCAATCAGCCTAAAGCATCATTAATAAACCAAAGATCAACTTTTCATAATAATATATACTAATTCAAGCAGATACAGTAAATTTCAAATTTCTCAGCACTAGCTGAAAGTGATCGACTCTATTCTTATCGCTCACAAAACTTAAATATACTTAGTCAATGTCACAATAAGATTGTAAAACGTGGGTCATTTCACATTTATTAGTAGGTTCTGTTGAAATTAGTTACACCGGTTTACCAGCAAAAGGAAAACTAGATTAGACAAAAAAATCAAGATGAATACAGTATTTGTTTATAACAAAGGTAGTAAACGATTTGGAACCTCCGTTCATAAATAAAATAAAACAGATGGTCAATGCGTTCCAGCGTTGGGAATGTTGGCATTCAAATCATTTATACAATTAAAGGAAATATACCAGAAAGTACCATAATTATTTCAAAATAACTCATAAAAATTATCTCGGTTAAGATTTAGCACTAATAATGACTGCACATGTTTCATTATAAACGTGAACTGACATAAATACTGTTGTTGCATTTCAGCAATTTGAATAAATAAAACCTTAAGCAAAAGAAACCAAGCTTTCAAGGTAAGCTGGCTACTGAGTCGTTCTTGATGGCTATCTTAAAGTTACAAACCACAAAAAAGTATATTTCATAGACTGTTGGCCCATAATAACTTTTCTACCAACACTGGATGACCAAGTGACTCAATTACTTAACTTTTCAAGATGATATGTAAATACGTTTGTGAAATACTCTTTTGTTTTCTGCATACTCCAATTGAAGCGAATCCTAAGCCACCAGCAATATTTTCGCAGTTGAAAAATAGTTACACAAGTAAAAATAGTGATCAAACGTACTTCCAACCCGGCCCTGAACCTCCGTGATTGCGTTTATCAATGTCAGAGTCATCCTGAAATAAGAAGATAACAAAAACTGAACATCAGACATGCAAGTTGCTGAGTTAATATGAACAACGTAACTAAGGAATACAATTGTCATCTTTTTCATTATTTAAAGCAATAATTGGACTGCTTATTTCCTACTCAGTGGACATGATAACCGAGTTAGAATTAATGAACAACTAAATAGATCAGTAAGAGTTTTGTTATATTTATGATTATTAGATGAGAGCTTTTACTTTGCAGACTTCTAAAAACTGAAGTATTATTAGAAGTAATTAAATAATGATAATATGGTTTTATTGTCAGAAAATGCTTTAGACTCCTTCCTAGAATACTTCAATCGTCTGACCATGTGAATATTCTATCGAATGCAGTCATAATCGTCAGTGTGTGATCTATTGACGTAATAAAAATAACACCACTGATAAACATAAAGACTATTTTCGTTCCATTTAGTGAGAACAAAGGGCAAAAAATCGTTTGTAACTTGTTTTCTACGGATGTTTAGAGCAAACTTTCACAGTAGTAAGGAATTGTTAAGCATGTATTGGCTGAATAATCATTGCCCCAACAGTTTACACTAATCGCTTTTGCGGTTGAAAAGCATTTTCTATTGATGCGCTTTGTGAGAAAGTTTTGTTTTAAAAAACCCGAAGGTTAGAAGTCGAACCTTGTCTAAAAGTTAAGTATAGACAAAATAAAATCTGATATTTTTATAAAACACCTGTAACAGCGGTATTATCACTCCTTTTTCAATTTGGTTACTTTGCGTTGTAAAGTCCTCCAAACAACCATTTTATTCAGAAATGCAAAATAACAGACTCTTTTACAGATAACTGAAGTTCGAAATTCCCTTCGCGCATAATTTTTTTGTGTTTGTTTCATATTATTTGGGTAACGATCGGAACTAATTTTTTATTTCAAAAAAGACTATTGTTGTTAAAATCATCTGCGTGCCACGTTTTTGCGCATATTTAGAACATTTGATACATTTACGCATAACATTAAACAATGTTTCAATAAATTCATCATAATAAAGGCAATTCAAAAGTAATATAATATCCACAAATTCATGATGATATCTAATAAAGTAAAAGTGTTTAAATATGCTTACTCACCGAATCTGAGCCATTAAAATGTCGTCTTCCCGTATTCCAGCCTTGAGAGCCAGGTTGTCGATTATAGACATCCTGTCCATACATTCCACTTCCTCCAAGCGTTCCAGGAACGCCACCATAATAGTTTGGCTATGAAACGTTATATCAAGACATCAAAAAAACATTTTTGAATTTTTAGTATTAACTGTGTGGTGGAAACATTCACCCACACGCACACGATTTTCAAGGAACATGTTTGTTTTATAGGCAGAGTTTTACCCACTAATTTTTTTAGGACATGATTGAAGTCACAAGGTGACAAATATGAGATCATATCAATATCTTAGATTTAGTAGAAGTTAAAAAATGCAGTTTTTAGGGGATAACAATGAATTTGGGTAATATCACTTTTGGTATGTAAGCAATGCCTTTAATTATTTCGCTAACCAAGATGTTTTATGTCTCACATCTAAAGTAATATCCGTTAATGTTTATGAACTGAATACAGAGGTCAGTGAATGAATAATTATTATACACAATATTTAATGCATTTGTAAATAGCTAGTGGAACCTAAGCACCCTATCTACAACTCTAACCGACATATAATTCTTTTTTCAATTAAAGTAGTATTCGGTGGGAAAGTTTTAAAAGTTACTCATAAACATATAGACCACGCAACTGTGAAAAGAGACTCACATTCATATTGCCATATCGAGGATCCATACGGTTATTGTAAACACCTTCACTTGGTCCAAAACCCGGGTCTTGCAGATTGAATGTGTTTTGGCTGGCATCGAAATGACCGCTTTTGTCTCCCTTATGGAAAGGCATTGTGTGCAGTAGACGTATGGAAAGCGATAATCCATTCCCATATTTAAGTGCCTTAAACGACCTTGAACAAAACACTCCCCATTAAAACAAGTGTATCACACCGCTAATTCTTTTATTAACCCAAATGGTATGATTTACGTTTTTAAACACACCAAGTTGCATGACCAACTAACAATCTCAGAGGTTGCAAGTTAAAGCTGTGTGAGGTGAACTCAGCATAGAACACTGTTACTGATTAAAATCTATTAAATAAACTATTAACCAATAAATTTTATGATGGACAGTTAAAAGGAAATTATTTTAGATACTTAGTTCGTTGTAGAAGGTAAAAAAGTACTGAAAATCTTATTATAAGGTTGAGGAAAACTGACATTCATTTTGTTTTGGTGAATTTTAGGCAGCTACGGGTACACCGCTTTATTAAGCAAGGCTTGTAACAACAAAGGAATAAAACGTTTCCGCTCATGTATGCTATCTATTATGAATTATTTGTCTACTAAAGCTAACAAAGAAGCGTCACGTTATATGTACATTACGAATGAAGGCGATTTGCGTGAATATCTGGGATACCTTTTCCTGTCATCCAGATATTTCAACAATCTATGTATCTTTTGTTTCTTTCAACTGACCATTGTATGAATTAATTGCATGGCTTATTCAAATGCGTTTGTGAAAAGTTCACGACCTTTCCTGCACAAATCGCGAAAGAGCACGATCAAAGTCATTGTGTTGGCTGGCATTATACTGCAGCGTGGTCTCGATTGGAGATTGACTATGAACACCGCTACCAAAAAAACACGTGCCAAGAAAATCAGAAGGCGTAGGTGGAACGTAACCAGATTTATTCGTTTGGCGATCTCGTGGTATCGAGTGAATACCGAGATTGTGCCAAGAACGGTACAAGCGAAATCAGGAGAACGGAGTAAGTGCGGACAGTAGCGAAAACCGCGGAACAATGATGGAAAGTAATGGAAGCACAAAATGGCTATAATTAGCACAGTCAAACAAAAGCACATTAAAACAAGCACTGATACAGTTGGTTATAATAATAATTGTTTTTATTAAACCAGTCGTGTTCTCGTGATAAATGTGAGTCCCTACAATACATCGGAAAGAATGTACATTATTCAGTTGTCGATTTCTGAACAGCTAATATCTAATTAGCGATCACTCAATATTCATCGTTAGGATGTATGAAGAAATAAAAAACGGAAACCTTTTGAAATAGTTTTCACTGAGTATTCTGTATTTCTTCCAAAATGTAATTTAGACAATAGCTAATAATAATCAAGGACTTGCTCAGGTTAAATGGAACTACTATTACCTTTAGGTAACATGAAAATCACACTTCTCGTTTCGTCCCATTTCGTCTTATCAATGAAGGATTTATAATTTGACAACAGTACAACACTATCAACGCTATTACAGAGATATATTAGTACAAGCAGGTACAAAAAACGAGAAGCGACCAGTGGCAAGTGCACTACCACTAAAGACGATGTAAGACTATGCCAGCGAAACCTAGCACTTCAACATCTCGTGTCGGAAGCCGGCTCACAAAGAATTAATTCGCAGTTTGAGTAGCAAAAACTCAAAAACTCACAAAACCAACTACATAGAAACTTTATTCAAGGTAGTGATAACACACTGAAGCACACTTGCATGACGGGAAAATGACATATCCTCACTTAGGTCGTTGCATACGAACAACTGTAGACACAAGTTTGACCGAAAAACTATTAAAACCTTGTAAAGAGGGAGTTCATGAAGCACAAGATGATTTTTAAAAGCTCTTCATTCAAATCAAAAAGCAATCAAGAAACGTATTGAAATTGGTTCAATCTGTCAAACAATCCTAAAAGTCATGAATAAATACTGAGCTAAGAATCAAAATGAAGGGAGATACAGTAAGACCGAAGTCCACAGTACATACTGTGAGTAATATGCGGATAATTTCGATCACTTCACTTTTACTTAAAGTTTGTGCTGATGATGTCCTTTAGAATAACGGTGAAAGCTCAACGACGAAAACATTGAACTCAGAAAACAAAGATCTAACTAAATCATCTGCCCAAACGACGAAACTTCTGCACCACTTTCAAACAGTCAAAAAGTTTTTATATTCAATAAAAGAAAAACTTACGGAAATTCGCATTTGGATATTTTTCACACTATTTCTTCGCAAATTAATGCAGATTGTGACTAATGATGTCTAAAAAAATTCATGCTTATATTTTGCAGTTGTTTTGTCCGGTTGTTCATATCAAGAATTAAATTTCAGTCACCTTCCAAAGATGCTTTTATTAACTTTTTATTTCTATGCAAAAAGATAAGTTCCTTTTTGTTGGAGACATCGAATGAACATTAGAATTTATATTCTCTTTACCTAGTAACAAAGGATTCCGGCTGCATAAATTTATTTTATGTTATTCTCTTCAGTAAACATTGCAATCATTGCGTTTAAAAGTTAAGATGGTTACAAATGAATCTCGGCACAAGTTCTTGATTCATAAGTTTATAGGTTACAAAATGCTTGTTTTGGTAAGCACCAGTTTAATTGGCGAATACGTTTTGAAAGACTTAATCACTGTGCTTACTTACTTACTTACTTACTCCTGTTAAGCTCTTATGTGTAAATCATTATCATGTTAAAATAATCATTGAATTCGAATAAGATAGTAACCATAATTACTTACTTACTTACGCCTGTTACTCCCAATGGAGCATAGGCCGCCGACCAGCATTCTTCAACCCACTCTGTCGTGTGCCTCCTTTTCTAATTCCATTCAATTCTTGTTCATCTTTTTCATGTCTATTTCCATTTCTCGGCGTAATGTGTTCTTTGGTCTTCCTCTCTTTTCCTTCTTTGGCCTTGAGCATTCTATGTGAGGGCTTGTCTTGTGACGCAGTTGGGTGCTTTCCTCAATGTGTTCTACCCACTTCCAGCGCTTCTTCCTGATTTCTTCCTCTACTAGGATCTGGTTTGTTCTCTCTCACAGTACGTTGTTGCTAATAGTGTCCGGCCAACGGATCTGAAGTATTTTGCGTAGACAACTGTTAATAAAAACCTGTATCTTCTGGATGGTGGCTTTCGTAGTTCTCCATGTTTCCGATCCATACAGTAGAACTGTCTTGACATTTGTATTGAAAATCCGGACCTTGGTGTTGGTTGACAGTTGCTTTGAGTTCCAGATGTTCCTCAGTTGTAAATATGCTGCTCTTGCTTTGGCGATCCGCGCCTTCACATCTGCATCAGATCCTCCATGTTCATCAATGATGCTGCCCAAATATGTAAAGGTTTTTACATCTTCCAAATCTTCTCTGTCAAATGTGATTGGATCGGTGCATGTTGTGTTGTATCGGAGAACCTTGCTCTTCCCTCTGTGTATATTGAGACCTACTGCTGCTGAGGCTGCTCCTACACTGTTCGTCTTCCCCTGCATTTGTTGTTGCGTTTGGGATAGAAGGGCCAGATCATCTGCGAAGTTCAGATCGTCCAACTGAATTCTAGATGTCCATTGTATCCCGTGCTTCCCTTCAGATGTTGACGTCTTCATGATCCAGTCGATCACCAGGAGAAAAAGAAAGGGTGAGAGTAAGCAACCTTGCTTAACACCGGTCTTCACTTCGAACGACTTTGTCAACTGTCCTCCATGCACGATTTTGCAGTATAATCCATCATATGAACTCTGTATGTTATTGACTATCTTCTGAGGCACGCCGTAGTGTCGAAGAAGTTTCCATAGTGTTGTTCAGTCCAGGCTATCAAATGCCTATTCGTAGTCAATGAAGTTGATGTAGAGTGATGAATTCCATTCAATTGATTGTTCCACAATGATCCGTAGAGTTGCGACTTGGTCTGGACACGATCTATCCTTACGGAATCCTGCCTGTTGGTCACGAAGTTGGGTGTCCACGCAGTCCTTCATCCTGTTTAACAATACTCTGTTGAAGACGTTTCCTGGTATTTAGAGAAGAGTGATGCCCCTGTAGTTATCACAGCTGCTGAGATCGCCTTTCTTCGGTATTTTGACCAGAAGTCCTTCTTTCCAGTCTTTTGGTACTTGTTCCTCATCCCAAATCTTATTGAAGAGAATGTGGAGTATCCTTGAAGTTGCCGTTATTCACCGTAAACAGTGATAAATCAAATAAATCAAAGTCTGATTATCTTATTACACAGTGAATCATTCGTCTGTACTAGGTGACTTATTATGTGACGCAATGTGATAACCTATGATGTTTTGCTTCACGTACTTTTATGATTCGGCATTTATCATGATATGTGATGCAACCAAATAATATATAAAAAAGTTTATCAGAATAGACTTGTACATAGTGCTTACTGATGACCATAATAAACAACTTCTAGTTGGAATTGCTTGACTGAACAAAAATGAAACAAAAATTAATCCTCTTTTCAGAGATGGTTCTTTAAAAACTGTCTATCATCAAATCATATTCTCCAGCACTAAGAAAATAAATTTTATGGGAACCGAGTCATTTAAATGACGATTCTAGTAATGTCAGATTTTCTTATGTTTGACGCTACTTACAATATTGCTTGTAAGTAGTATGTAGCGGAACATGACGTTGTCGCAGTTATCAGATGAGGAGAAGAGTTCTAGTTCATTAATAGCATGGCGTAAAAAATTTAGTTAACAAACGAGAGGATAGTTTGGAATGCAGTGCACACCGTAAGATCCAAATGTATGATCGAAGGTTATGTATAAATGTTATATAAATGCTTTTTCATTTGTCAGTAGGAAACTCATCTAGACTCAGTTTTGTTCTACATTCTGAGTTAAGTACATTAGTCTCAAAGTATTCAACATCATACTGCATGAAACCTCCAGCGTTTGCGCAGAATTGAAAGGGGATTTTAGTTATAGCACAACCGTTAAAACGTCAGAGGTGACGAACGTTTACCTTTATAGGTTTCTTTGCCTTCCAGTGAATGTTTCACTCAGCTCATACTTGACTATATTGTAACGGATTGATCA